CTGCATCGTCCCCCCACACCCGGCTCAGCCTCCCAGGCCCCCCCAGCCGGCAGGCGCAGACACGAGTCCGGGCCCCTCTGAGTCAACCCCCTGGGGCAGCTCCGCCTGCTGCACCCTGACTCATGTGCTGGGAACGGCCTCCCACCCCAGGGCCGGGGGGCGGGAGCCAGAGCCGTGCCAGGGTCCCAGGAGCCAGGAAAAGTCGAGACGGCCCTTCTGAAGCCTCTAAGGAGGGGTCTGGGGAAGTCCCGGGATCTAGGCCCAGGGAGGGCGGGTCCACTCGCGTGCTTAGAGGGGGCCTCGCTGGGCGCCAAGCGCCGGGCAAGGGTCTCTGTGGTCCTGCTCGACCCTGCAGCCCCGCCCCCAGCCGATGTCCTCAGCCCTGACTCCGGCACAGACCGGCCCCTGACAGGGTCTCGGCGCCAAGCCTTGCCTAGGCCTCCCCAGCCTCGCCTCCAAGGTCAGGCGGCCTGGTCCTGGAACTACCTTGAGCCCCAGCCCCCAGGGAGTGGGACTTCCTCCCCTGCCGGCCAGGGAGCGGCAGGTCACAGGCTCCCCCCAGGCTCCCGGCCTGTCCCTGAGAGCACACAGTTAGCTGGGCAGCCCACTGGCATGCCCCCGCCCCAGGCCTCCCCTGGGCCTGTAGACACAGACCCCTGTGGCTCTGTCCCAAGAAGGGAGAAAAGGAGGCCAGGCCGGGACCTGGACCACGCAGGGCCTGTTCTTCCGCCCTAATTCCACCTTAAGCAGGTAGCAGCCCCTCCCTCCCACCTGGCCCAGGTGTCCCCGCCCCCAGCCACGCTCTGGGCTGGGCAGCGTCTGTCTCCAGGCTGGCTCTGGGCGAGGCCAGTGGGGAGGGGACTTCAGGGACAGGGCCTCCAGGGACAAGACGAGAAGACAGTCCAGGTTGGAGGCGGCCTTGGCCGCGCCAGGTGAACGGCCCGGCGCCCTTGCCGCCATGCAGGACGGTAACTTCCTGCTGTCCGCCCTGCAGCCCGAGGCCGGTGTGTGCTCCCTGGCGCTGCCCTCGGACCTGCAGCTGGATCGCCGGGGTGCAGAGGGCCCGGAGGCAGAGCGTCTGCGGGCAGCCCGCGTCCAGGAGCAGGTCCGAGCCCGCCTTCTGCAGCTGGGCCAGCAGCCACGGCACAACGGTGCCGCTGAGCCTGAGGCAGAGGCCGAGGCCGCCAGAGGTAGGCCGATGCACATGCGGGTGCCGGGAGAGGGGGAAGGTGGAGGGGACAGCACAGGTGGCGGGCACAGGTGCCCGAGGCGGGCATGGTGGCGTGAGGGGCAGAGGCCACGGTGAGCCGGCTCCGGGGCTCAGCTCCTGACTCACTCGGGCCTGGCACTGAGTCACCCGCCCCGCCCCAGCGAGCTTGGGGAGAAGCCGCGGGTGGGGCTGCCCCACCCCAGCAGGACCCCCAGGTCCTGGGGACCAAGCCTGGCTGGGCCCCCTTGCTCCCTTGGCCGGGAACCCGCCCTGCTTACAATGGGAGGGTCCCCACGCGGTGAGCAGGCCAGGCCCATCTGTCGGCAAACCCGGAACACACCCGCCTGGCGCCGCGTACCCAGTCCCACCTGGTCTCAGGGACAAGGCACAAGCGCCCCCCCCCCGCACCTTCCAGCCCCTCGGGAACGAGCAGAACAGAACGTGGGGGCAGGCCTGGCAAATCCTGGACAAAAGCCAGGGCTTGTCTGGACAAGGGGCTCCCTGTGGAGTTCCAGGGGGAGGGCCTGGCTGGCGTGACCCAGATCTCCTCTGTGAGAACCGCAGGGAGGACTGCGCCCCTCGGTGCCAGCCAGACCCACCAGTGCAGGGATCCTGTCCCCGCCAGGACCTCTGTGTGTGTTAAAAGCTCAAAAATGCATTCAGATCAGGACGGTCATTCTAGAAATGTCATTTCCTCCCTGGCTGGGATGCAGCAACACGGATTAAGGTTAGACAGATTAGCCTCCCAGAATGCCAGGGGCTCAGGCCTCAGTTCACTGTCAGCCCTGAGGACCTGCCCCAGACAGACCTCCAGCCGCTGGCCGCGGAGATGAGGGCTGGGGGAGAGAGGGGCCGGCCAGCGTGGCCTGGATCTCCGGGTCCTCCCACGCTGGGCCTCAGCCTTGCTGGCAGCCGACTCAGGTGCCCGGGGGTCATGGGGCGGAGGAGGTGAAGGAAGGGGTTAATTACCACCTGACTACCCTGCCAATTAGGGGAGGTGAATTGTAATTTGGGGGTGGGGCGTGGCCCCCAGGCGAGCGTCAAAGGCTTAATAGCCCATGCCCAGAAGCCTCATTAACCAGGGTGGGTCTAGGGAGCAGGCCGGGGGTCCCCAAAGGCCATCTGGCTCCTGGGCAGAGCTGGGGGAGGGCCAGGTCCTCTCCCTACAGACCCCAAGCCCCTTGGCCAGGCGGTGCCCCCGGCCTGCTGACCTGCCTCCAGCTCTTCTCACGCCCCCAGCGGCCTGTCCCTCCAAGCGTGCCCCCTCACCCCCAACTGTCCGCTCTGCACCCACCCACGGGGCCCTCCCTGGCCACCCGCTCTCCCCTCCCTTCGTCCACCGGCCTGCCTGTCCATCCTTCCAAGCGTCCACCAGCCCTCACCCCCTCCACCTGCCTCCCTCCTCCCACCCTCCGCCCTCCGCCCTCCCACCTGTCTGTCCACTCTCCGTGGAGTCGGGCTGACACAGCTGCCCCAGGCTTTTGTGTGGCTGGACGGGGTGGGTGTGGCCCCTGACGCAGGCTCAAGTGGGAGAGGGCACTGCCACCAGGCAGACTAGTCCAGGGAGACAGCATCACTCTCCTGTGGCCATGGGGTCTGGGCACAAGAGGGCACCAAGGAGGTCCGGATGGGCCAGGCTGGCTTCCTGGAGCAGGGGGTCAGGCGCTGTGCCCTAGCAGGGATTGCAGAGCTGAGGGTGGAGTCCTGGTCATGCTCCCCAGGCAGCTGGGAGGGCTGTGGGGTGAGTGCATCTGCCCCTGAGGCAGGCGAGGTGTCTCTGGGGAGGGATGTGGGGATCACAAGGGCTGAGGAGGAGAAGAGGACGCGAAGCCATGGCAGGGATGGGGCACCTGGCCTCTCTGGCCTCCCCACCCTGGATCCGAGTCTGCTCCCAGGGTCAGGAACAGAGACGTCTGGCAGAGGGGAGGCAGGAGGCTGGCACTTTGCTGTCCGGTGCAGCGGGGCGACCACTGACCCTGTCCCACAGGCACATCCAGGGGTCAGTACCACACCCTGCAGACTGGCTTCAGCTCACGCTCCCAGGGCCTGAGTGGGGACAAGACCTTGGTGAGTGACAGCTGGGCTGAGGACAGTCCGACTCGGCAGTCCGGGGAGGGGGCTCTGGGACTCCAGGGTCAGAGGGTGGGGACGGGCACCCGCGAGCCCGGCACCCCCTCAAGGCCTCCTTCCTGCCCACAGACCTTCCGGCCCATCGCCAAGCCGTCCTACAGCCCAGCCTCCTGGTCCTCCCGCTCGGCCGTGGACCTGAGCTGCGGTCGGAGGCTGAGCTCTGCCCACAATGGGGGCAGCGCCTTCGGGGCTGTGGGGTATGGAGGCACCCAGCCCGCCCCAGCCATGCCTGCCAGGCCCCTGTCCTTCCACGAGCGCGGGGGCGTGGGGAGCCGCGCTGACTACGACACCCTGTCCCTGCGCTCGCTGAGGCTGGGGGCCGGCGGCCTGGACGACCGCTACAGCGTGGTCTCTGAGCAGCTGGAACCCGCAGCCACCTCGGCCTACAGGGCCTTTGCCTACGAGCGCCAGGCCAGCTCCGGCGCCAGTCGGGCCGGGGGGCTGGACTGGCCAGAGGCCACCGAGGGCCCCCCAAACCGGATCATCCGTGCCCCTGCCATGCGGACCCTGCAGCGGTTCCAGAGCGGCCACCGGAGCCGTGGGGGGCCCGGGGCGGTGCCCGGGGCCGTCCTGGAGCCCGTGGCCCGAGCACCATCTGTGCGCAGCCTCAGCCTCAGCCTGGCAGACTCGGGCCACCTGCCGGACGTGCGTGGCCTGGACAGCTACTGCGGCCACCGGACCCTGCAAAGGCTCAGCAGTGGGTGAGGAGTTGGGCCTGGCTCGGGAGGGGGCTCGTGCCACAGCCCGGCCTGAGGCCCAGGCGAGCCTGACCCCTAATCTCTGGCTCTGCAGTTTTGACGACATCGACCTCCCCTCCGCAGTCAAGTACCTCATGGCCTCAGACCCCAACCTGCAGGTGCTGGGAGCAGCCTACATCCAGCACAAGTGCTACAGCGACGTGGCAGCCAAGAAGCAGGTGACGGTCCCCCGGCCACCGCACAGGCCCGCGGTGGCTCCCGCTGGCCCCCGAGTGCCCTGAAGGCCATCCTCATGGGCTCCACCGCCTCTCTGGTCTCAGACCCCCTCACTGATTCCCAAGCGGACTGGGCAGACCCCACTCTGTCCACGGCTGTCTCAGCCGGGGAAGGGCAGGAGGGCGTGGTTCGCATACACTTGTGTATCGGCATATACCCAGATGTCTGCATCACCTGCACACACCTGGACACACCTGCATATCTGTGTCACCTGTGTACCCTTACCATCCCTGTGTGAGCTCCAGCACCTGCACACATACCTGCATCGCCTGCATCCACCAGGGTACACCAGCTGCATATCTGTATCACCTGTGTACACTTGCCATCCCTGTGTAAGCTTCAGCACCTGCACACACCTGGATACACCTGCATATCTGTATCCCCTGTGTACACTTGCTATCCCTGTGTAAGCTTCAGCACCTACACACACCTGGACACACCTGCATATCTGTGTCACCTGTGTACCCTTACCATCCCTGTGTGAGCTTCAACACCTGCACACATACCTGCATCGCCTGCATCCACCGGATACACCATCTGCATATCTGTATCCCCTGTGTACACTTGCTGTCCCTGGGTAAGCTTCAGCACCTGCACACACGCCTGCATCGCCTGCATCCATCTGCTCTGCAACCACACACACCTGCATTACACCTGCTTCACCCGTGCACACCTGCATAGAGCCACACACATCTCCATGCATCTGTGCACGCTTCCACCCACTTGGACCAGCCTGCCTCCCTCTATAAGCATGTGCACACGTGTGCACACACCACATGCCTGTCCCGCAGGCCCGCAGCCTTCAGGCTGTGCCCAGGCTGGTGAAGCTCTTCAACCACGCCAACCAGGAGGTGCAGCGCCATGCCACGGGCGCCATGCGCAACCTCATCTATGACAACGCAGACAATAAGCTGGCCCTGGTAGAGGAGAACGGCATCTTCGAGCTGCTGCGGACGCTGCGGGAGCAGGACGACGAGCTTCGCAAGAATGTCACAGGTGCCACCTGTCCCTCCTCTGCCTGTCCCTCCTCTGCCAGACCCCCTGACGCTCTGGCCCCTTCTCTGCTAACCCCCTATCCAGCGCTGTTTCTTCCCTGTGTCTTTCTCTACTGGCTGCGTCTCTATGCTGGCCCCTGACCCAACTCTCCCCATATCCCTGAGGACTCTGTCTGGGTCTGTCTCTCTCCTGGTCCCTGAGGACTCTGTGACTGTCTCTCCCCGTGTCCTGAGGACTCTGTGGCTGTGTCTCTGTGTCCCTGAGGACTTTGTACCTGTGTCTCCCTGTGTCACCGTAGCTTTTGCGACTCTCTCCGTGCCCCTGAGGACTCTGTGGCTGTGTGTCTCTCCGTGTCCCTGATAACACTGTGTCTCTATGTCCCCGAGGACTCTGTGGCTCTCTCTCTCCTGGCCCCTGAGGACTCTGTCTGTGGCTGTGTTTCCCCATGTCCCTGAGGACTCTGTCATTGTGTCTCTCAGTGTCCCTGTGGATTCTGTGACTGTCTCCATATCCCTGAGGACTCTGTGACTGTCTCTCTCCATGTCCCTGTGAACTCTGTGGCTGTCTCTCTCTCTGTGTTCCTGAAGACTCTGACTCTGTCTCTCTGTGTTCCCAAGGATTCTGTGACGCTGTCTCCCCGTGTCCCGGTGGACTCTGTGTCTGTCTCTCTCTCTGTATCCCTGAGGACTCTGTGTCTGTGTCTGTATGTTCCTGTATGGACTCTGGTTGTCTCTCTCCTTGTCCCTGAGGACTCTGTGGCTGTCTCTCCTGGTCCCTGAGGACTCTGTCTGTGGCTCTCTCCGTGTCCCTGAGGACTCTCTCTGTTCCTGAGGACTCTGTCACGGTCTCTTTCTGTGTCCCCGTGGACTCTGTGGCTGTCTCTTTGCAGCCACCTCTATTCCAGAGCCACTTATTTCCTAGTGTTTTCCCCTCCTGCTCAGTTCCGGCCCTATAACCCCCAAAGCCGCACTCCTTGGCGGGGCTCCTGGTTGAGACAGGAAACGCCAGACCAGTCCTGGGGAGAGGTCGGCGCTCCCAGAAGCACCCGGGAAAAGCCCGTGGGTGGCAGGCTGACCCGAACGCCCCTCCTGTGCAGGGATCCTGTGGAACCTCTCGTCTAGCGACCACCTGAAGGACCGCCTGGCCCGTGACACGCTGGAGCAGCTCACGGACCTGGTGCTGAGCCCCCTGTCCGGGGCCGGCGGCCCCCCGCTCATCCAGCAGAACGCCTCGGAGGCCGAGATCTTCTACAACGCCACGGGCTTCCTCAGGTGCGCGGGGCGGGGTGGGGGAAGGCCCAGAAGCCGGTTTC